TCCCCACTGATACCAACAATGGGACATTATTCCTCCCACTGACACCAATGATGGGGCACTATTCCCCCCACTGATACCAATGATGGGACACTATTCCTCCCACTGACACCAATGATGGGGCACTATTCCTTCCACTGATACCAACAATGGGACACTATTCCTCCCACTGACACCAATGATGGGGCACTATTCCTCCCACTGATACCAATGATGGGGCACTATTCCTCCCACTGATACCAATGATGGGGCACTATTCCTCCCACTGACACCAATGATGGGGCACTATTCCTCCCACTGATACTAATGATGGGGCACTATTCCTCCCACTGACACCAATGATGAGGCACTATTCCTCCCACTGACACCAATGACGGGGCACTATTCCTCCCACTGATACCAATGACGGGGCACCTATTCCTCCCACTGATACCAATGATGGGGCACTATTCCTCCCACTGATACTAATGATGGGGCACTATTCCTCCCACTGACACCAATGATGAGGCACTATTCTTCCCACTGATACCAACAATGGGACACTATTCCTCCCACTGACACCAATGATGGGACACTATTCCTCCCACTGACACCAATGATGGGACACTATTCCTCCCACTGTCACCAATGATGGGGCACTATTCCTCCCACTGACACCAATGATGGGGCACTATTCCTCCCACTGACACCAATGATGGGGCACTATTCCTCCCACTGATACCAATGATGGGGCACTATTCCTCCCTCTGACACCAATGATGGGGCACCATTCCTCCCACTGATACCAATGATGGGGCACTATTCCTCCCGCTGACACCAATGATGGGGCACTTTTCCTCCCACTGACACCAATGATGGGGCACTAGTCCTCCCACTAATACCAATGATGGGGCACTATTCCTCCCACTGACACCAATGATGGGGCACTATTCCTCCCACTGATACCAATGATGGGGCACTATTCCTCCCACTGGCACCAATGATGGGGCACTATTCCTCCCACTGACACCAATGATGGGGCACTATTCCTCCCACTGACACCAATGATGGGGCACTATACCTCCCACTGACACCAATGATGGGACACTATTCCTCCCACTGACACCAATGATGGGGCACTATTCCTCCCACTGATACCAATGATGGGGCACTATTCCTCCCACTGACACCAATGATGGGGCACTATTCCTTCCACTAATACCAACAACTGGGTGCTATTGCTCCCCCTAATAAGATACAATGTATACTCTCACTGATGCCAGGAAAATTTCTAATTCCACTAACTACAGTTTGGCCCCCCTAAAGTCTGAAGAACAGTAAACTGGCCCTTTGTTTAGAAGGTTTGGAGACCCCCTACTCTAAAGGGAAGCTGAGGATGCTCTTTTGTGATCTTTTCAACTTAGCAATGTATATGTTTCTCCAGACATCCAATCAGAATGGAGAATCACGGCTTCCTTCTCAATGCAGAATTATTTTGTTGGCATAGATTTATATGTATGACCCCCTTATTAGAGGACAAGAACTCAGGGCCCATTCCCAACCAGATGCAGGGCCCATTCCCACCAGACCTCAGGGCCCATTCCCACCAGATGAAGGGCCCATTCCCACCAGACCTCAGGGCCCATTCCCACCAGATGAAGGGCCCATTCCCACCAGACCTCAGGGCCCATTCCCACCAGATGCAGGGCCCATTCCCACCAGACCTCAGGGCCCATTCCCACCAGATGCAGGGTCTATTCCCACCAGATGCAGGGCCCATTCCCACCAGACCTCAGGGCCCATTCCCACCAGATGAAGGGCCCATTCCCACCAGACCTCAGGGCCCATTCCCACCAGATGCAGGGCCTATTCCCACCAGATGCAGGGCCCATTCCCACCAGACCTCAGGGCCCATTCCCACCAGATGAAGGGCCCATTCCCACCAGACCTCAGGGCCCATTCCCACCAGATGCAGGGCCCATTCCCACCAGACCTCAGGGCCCATTCCCACCAGATGCAGGGCCCATTCCCACCAGACCTCAGGGCCCATTCCCACCAGATGCAGGGCCCATTCCCACCAGACCTCAGGGCCCATTCCAACCAGACCTCAGGGCCCATTCCCAACAGATGCAGGGCACATTCCCACCAGATGCAGGGCCCATTCCTACCAGACCTCAGGGCCCATTCCCACCAGATGCAGGGCCCATTCCCCCCAGACCTCAGGGCCCATTCCCACCAGATGCAGGGCCAATCCTCACCAGACCTCAGGGCCCATTCTCACCAGACCTCAGGGCCCATTCCCACCAGATGCAAGGTCCATTCTCACCAGACCTCAGGGCCAATTCCCACCAGACCTCAGGGCCCATTCCCACCAGATGCAGGGCCCATTCCCACCAGACCTCAGGACCCATTCTCACCAGACCTCAGGGCCAATTCCCACCAGACCTCAGGGCCAATTCCCACCAGACCTCAGGGCCAATTCCCACCAGACCTCAGGGCCCATTCCCACCAGATGCAGGGCCCATTCCCACCAGACCTCAGGGCCCATTCCCATCACACCTCAGGGCCCATTCCCACCAGATGCCTTTTTGAGTGCACTCCTACTGCATAGACAGTCCTAAACCGGGGTTATCCTATGGGCGTTGTTCACACTATTGCAGTGCAGTGCACAGAAAAGCCCAAAGAAAAAAGAAAATGGAAGCAACCTTAAAGGAAATGCTTGGAAAAGCTTTGGAAAAAAAAAATGCAACACGAGTGCATGGAAATGCGCATAAAAGTGGGTGTCAAATGCACTTCACCGCACATGCAAAAATACGAGGTAAATGTGCCGTTTCTGGTGTGAACGGGCCTTTAGTATATTATTTTGTAAAGTTTTACTCTGGGCAGATATAAAAGACAAAAATGAATGCGGCTTTGCACTGAGTAATACATCCTTTCTCCTTTTCCTAATGCAAGCAATTCAAGCAGAGGAAGCAGCACAGGTAGCCAATCATGGGTGCAAGGAGCTGCCTGTTGTCAGAGGGTCTTACATCATTGATCCAGTCGATGTAGGCGGAGACTCTGGTGAAGACGGTTGGCTTCTTCTCGTAGTTGCAGCTGATGCCGGAACCGAAGCTGACAACGCCGTGCACTTGCCAGGGTCCTTCGATGGACTGAACGTTCAGGGGACCGCCGGAATCACCCTGCAGAGCAGAATGCGATCATTAGACGCTGATAAAGAGTGACCACTGTACGCACTGGATTTAAAAAGACATCTCACTGACGAGACACGGAGTCTATAACCCTGTAGGATATTATTTTCCAGATTTATTAAAACATGAAAGAGGGATATAAAAATGTGTTTTTGCTGGAGAAAATGCTGCTCTGGGTTTGCTCCAGTGCTGCTTATATAATCAATGAGGCTTAGGCATTTAAATATGTGATCTCTGCAGGCGCAGAGGGTTAAAGTTCAGATAGGTTGGCCCTCCTCCCCAATGAAAATCACATAACCAATGAGGAAGGCTGAACTGACTTTTTCCCCTCTTGGGGGTGCACACCTGAATCTCAGATTTGGGAACCTACAATGAACTAAGGAGGACCGAGACTTACGTTGCATGCAGAGACAATGCCGTCACCACCACCGCAGATCATGGTGTCCCTGACCTGCCAGCCCCACCAGTCAGACCTGGAGCAGGTAGCGTAATCCACCACTGGGAGGAGAGCCTGCTGGAGAAGATCAGCGATGGGTCCGCCAGCTGAAACACAAAGGACACAATGACAACGGATCAGGGAGAGTGTGGGCACCGCTACTGATAACTGCAAGTTCAACCAATCAATTCAAGAGGAGCTACTGACTATGGGGGGGGGGGGGGGGGGTAAGACTGACAAAGCCGTCTCTGTGGAAGGTGAATTTCAAAGGATAGCTGCATCCAAATTATTCTTAAATTGGGGAAGAGTTGGAAGGGGAAGAGGAAGAAAGGAAGCAAATGAAGAAGAGGAGGAGAAGAGAAGAGGAGGAGATGAGAAGAGAAGAGGAAGAAAGAGGAAGAGAAGAGGAAGAGAAAGAGAAGAGGAAGAGAAGAGGAAGAGAAGAGGAAGAGAAAGAGAAGAGGAAGAGAAGAGGAAGAGAAGAGGAAGAGAAAGAGAAGAGGAAGAGAAGAGGAAGAGAAAGAGAAGAGAAGAGGAAGAGAAGAGAAGAGAAGAGAAAGAGGAAGAAGAGAAAGAGAAGAGAAAGAGAAGGAGAAAGAGAAGGAGAAAGAGAAGGAGAAAGAGAAGAGGAAGAAGGAAGAGAAAGAGAAGAGAAAGAGGAAGAGAAGAGAAAGAGGAAGAAGAGGAAGAGGAGGAGAAGGGAAGAGGAGGAAAAGAGATGAGATGAGATGAAATGAGAAGAGAAGAGGAAGAGGAAGAGAAGAGAAAGAGAAGAGAAGAGAAAGAAGAGAAAGAGAGAAGAGGAAGAGGAAGAGAAGAGAAAGAGAAGAGAGAAAGAGGAAGAAGAGAAAGAGGAAGAGGAGGAGAAGGGAAGAGGAGGAGAAGAGAAGGAGAAGGAGGAGAAGGAGAAGAGAAGAGAAAAAGAGGAGGAGAAGGAAATGGAAAAGGAAAGGGAAAATGAAAAGAAGGAGAAGGAAAGAATAGATATGGAATAGTATAGAATAGGAAGGAAGGAATGAAAAAGAGAGGAAGAAAATGTAAGAAAGGATAGAAAAAATATGGAAAGGAAAAGGAAAAACAAGAAGAGAGGAGAGGAAATGCAAGGAATAAAAGGAAGGAAGGAAGCAAAGAATATAAATGAAAGAAAAGGAAAGAAGAAAGAAAGCAAAGAATTAATGAAGAAAAAAAAACAGGAGGGAAATGTAAGAAAGGAAGGAAAGAATGAATAGAAAGGAAACAAAGGGAAGGAAGAAAAGATTAGACATGAAATAGAAGAAAGGAAGGAAAATAGAAAGGAAATGGAAGGAAGGAAAGAATAGAATAGAAATGGATGCAGGGAAGGAAAGAAGGAATGAAGCAATAAATAGAAAGGAAATCGAAGAAAGAAATAAGAATACAAATAAACTGGAAGAAATGAAAAAAGGAGTAAGGAAATGTAAGAAAGGAAGGAAGAAAAGAATAGAAACAAATTGGAAAGAAGGAAAAAAAAAATGAAGGAAAGAAGAAAGGAAGCAGAGAATAGAAGGAAATAGAGGGCATATAGAAAAGGGAAGGAAGGAAGGAAGGAAGGAAGGAAGGAAAGGAAGGAAGGAAGGAAGGAAGGAAGGAAGGAAGGAAGGAAGGAAGGAAGGAAGGAAGGAAGAAGGAGGGAGGGAAGGAAGAAGGAAGGAAGGGAGGAGGGAGGGAGGGAGGGAGGGAGGGAAGAAGGAAGGAAGGAAGGAAGGAAGGAAGGGGAAGAAGGAAGGAAGGAAGGGGAAGAAGGAAAAGAAGGAAGGAAGGGAAGGAGGGAGGGAAGGAGGGAAGGAAGGAAGGAAGGATGGAAGGAAGGAAGGAAGGAAGGAAGGAAGGAAGGAAGGAAGGAAGGAAGGAAGGAAGGAAGGAGGACGGGAAGGAGGGAAGGAAGGAAGGAAGGAAGGAGGGAAGGAAGGGCAAGGCACAGGGACTGGTTTTGGGTTATGGACAGGCCAAATGAAGATAGGGAAGTTAAGCTATTGGTTCAAAGTGCCACAGGGACAAGATACAGTATTCTTGTTAAAGAAGCTCTAAAACTTAAACTTTTTTTTTAGTTTATAAAGGGGGGGGGGCATTTCCTGTAAGTGTTCCTTTGAGGAGACTTACCCTCTCTTCCTGCTCTGCGGCCATAACTCTCTACAAAGTGAAGGGAAATCCTCTCCTAGACAGGAGTCACTGGAAGAGGTGTCCTCATCAGAAGATCTCCCCTCTATTTCAGTGATAGATGTAAAATTTTAGATTTCCTGTCACTTTCTGTACCAGAGACAAGGATACCAAGCTATAGACACCATCCAAAAATAAAAGGTAGAATGTGCCTTTGGATGTGTTTCAACAAAAGTATCCTCAGGCACTTTGTGCTGCCTTCATTAGGAAGGACTTTTAATGGCTGACGAGGTCACTTTACATACCAGAACCATCACCATTAATTCAAATTCTTATTTAAAGGTGAACTCATGGCTTACTGTACAGACGACCCCATCCAGTCACAAAACTGTCTGAATTATTTTCCAGGAGGACGCCAGCAGGGGGCAGGCAGGCGGGCTGAATGGTGACGCCGAGTGGTGCGGGTTGGGACAGCTTGATCAGGGCGATGTCGTTGCTGAAAGAACACAAATACATCAGTTACACGGCTATTGCGGGTTTACAGCTGAAAATGGGACCCAATAAAAGCATACGTCGCGAATCCGTGCAGTACTGGAAATCACTGATATCAGTCGGCGGGCCCTTTCAGGTGATATTTTGCTTTGCAGTAATGTTCAGAATGAAGGAATCCGCCATGGGAGAATTAAGTTTGCAAACCAGGGGTGACCAGGGGGAAGTATATAGAGAGGATTAGTGTTAGGGTTAGATTTAGGATTTATTGTTGGGGTTACAGGGAGGGTTAGTATTAGTGTTACTGGGAGAGTTAGTGTTGGGGTTACAGGGAAGGGTTAGTTTTGGGGTTACAGGGAGGGTCAGTGTTGGGGTTACAGGGAGGGTTAGTGTTGGGGTTACAGGGAGGGTTAGTGTAGGGGTTACAGGGAGGGTCAGTGTTGGGGTTACAGGGAAGGTTAGTGTAGGGGCTACAGGGAGGGTTAGTGTCAGGGTTACAGGGAGGATTAGTGTTGGGGTTACAGTGAAGGTCAGGGTTAGATTTACAGGGAGGGTTAGTGTTAGGGTTACAGGGTGGGTTTTTTTATGGTTACGGATAAATTGGTGTTAGGGTTACAGGGAAGGGTTAGTGTTGGGGTTACAGGGAAGGTTAGGGTTAGATTTACAGGGAGGGTTAGTGTTAGGGTTACAGGTGGGTTGGTGTTAGGGTTACATGGTGGGTTTTTTATGGTTATGGATGAATTGGTGTTAGGGTTACAGGGAGGGTTAGTGTTGGGGTTACAGTGAAGGTTAGGGTTAGATTTCCAGGGAGGGTTAGTGTTAGGGTTACAGGTGGGTTGGTGTTAGGGTTACAGGGTGGGTTTTGTATGGTTACGGATGAATTGGTGTTAGGGTTACAGGGGTTACAGGGAGGGTTAGTGTTGGGGTTACAGGGAAGGTTAGTATTAGTGTTACAGGGAGAGTTAGTGTTAGGGTTACAGGGAGGGTTAGTATTGGGGTTACAGGGAAGGTTAGGGTTAGATTTACAGGGAGGGTTAGTGTTAGGGATACAGCAAGGCTTAGTGTTAAGGTTACGGAGAGCATTTGTATGAGGGTTGCATGGAAGGTTAGGTTAACAGGCAGAATTAGTATTGAAATTACAAGGAGGGTTACTGTTAGGGATCCAGGGATGACTAGCGTTAGGATTACAGAGAGGACTAGATTAAAGGGTAGTTTGCGGGTTACAAATACTTAGCCTTAGTGCTAACGGGAAGGTTGGTGGTAGGGCCATCTCACGTGGACAAACTTGGGTGACAATTTGCCAACCTTAGGGTCACTAAGAGTCTTCCTGCCTCTCTATATAGAATTGTTCTCAGTAGCAGGGCCAGTGAGATGACGCTCCCTCCCTGCCCTGGTGCTAGCGAGCTAGGTTCCTCAACATTTGGGGCCAGCAAGAGAGGGATTACCAAGGCAAAGTGGAAGGTTCTCCAGTGTGATATGCGCATTGAGGTCACAAGTCTAGCTGGGACTGAAGACAAGGACCATCAACACTTAGCCACACCAGAGTGAGCACAGGGGAGAAATACTTAAATGTGGCCCATCACAGATTGGGGTTACTTGATAGGTTAGTATTAGGATTATTATTAAGTATTAGGATAGTATTAGGATTACAGGAATGGTTAGTGTTGGGGTCACAGGTCTAGCTGGGACTGAAGACAAGGACCATCAACACCTAACCACACCAGAGTGAGCATAGGTGAGACATACGTAAATGAAGCCCATCACAGATTGGGGTTACTTGATAGGTTAGTATTATGATTATTATTAAGTTTTAGGATAGTATTAGGATTACAGGAATGGTTAGTGTTGGGGTCACAGGTCTAGCTGGGGCTGAAGACCAGGACCATCAACACCTAACCAGGAGCGGACTGACAACTCATGGGGCCCCTGTGTCCTTGCCCACACTCAAACCACTCCCAAAAAAGCCTATGAAAGGTACCAGGGGCATCTCATGGGGCCCCCTACTTACCCCAGGCCCTGGGCAGTGCCCGAGTACCCGAATGGTCAGTCCACCCCTGCACCTAACCACACCAGAGTGAGCATAGGTGAGAAATACATGTGGATGCTGCCATCACAGATTGTGTATTCCGAAGTCAAGTCATACTCACAGGATGAAAAAAAAGTTCCATCTTTATTTCTACTCCCACTGGCTACAGTACACCCCCCCCCCCCCCCCCTAAAGTCTGAAGAACAGTAAACTGGCCCTTTGTTTAGAAGGTTTGGAGACCCCCGCTCTAAAGGGAAGCTGAGGATGCTCTTTTGTGATCTTTACAACTATATGTTTCTCCAGACATCCAATCAGAAAGGTTCTCCAGTGTGATATGGATGTTGAGGTCTCAAGTCTAGCTTGGAATGAAGACCAGGAATGGTTAGTGTTGGGGTCACGGGTTTAGCTGGGGCTGAAGACCAGGACCATCAACACCTAACCACACCAGAGTGAGCATAGGTGAGAAATACGTGGATGCTGCCATCACAGATTGTGTATTCCGAAGTCAAGTCATACTCACAGGATGAATAAAGAGTTCCATCTTTCGTGGACAATGATCTTCTCAGGGGAAATGGCAATAGAACCTTCTTCATCTGGAATCTGCAGGTTTTCTTTGCCCAGATAAACCCTGTACGTATTCGCAGAGCTGAACAAAACACAAGTGAAATCGGATGAGTGCTTTGGAGGTGAATTTGTGCATTGGTGTTACCCAACCTAGGGCCAACCCTTGACGTCTTCATCTTTTATTTCCTGATAGGACTCTACAGTTTCCTTAGACCAGGGGTAGGCAACCTGCGGCTCTCTAGCTGTTGTGGAACTACATTTCCCATGAGACATTGCAAAATTGACAGTTACAGCTATGACTTGCAGAGGCATGATGGAACTTGTAGTCCTGCAGCAGCTGGAGAGCCGCAGGTTGCCTACCCCTGCCTTAGACTGAGGTGTTACATGGACAACGATTAGCAGACGAGAACACTCTCCCTAATTACCTGCATGGCATTTGATGTTGCACTGAGCTGTACTTTCCACGACATACCATTAAAAATGAGTCCAGTGTGCCAGACAGGGCACAGGTCCCCAAATTGCCATGGATGCAAGGAATGTTTTAAATATTACATTTAACTTGCATAGCAGTTCTATATACAGTGAGGAACAGAAGTATTTGAACACCCAGCAATTTTACAAATTCTCCCACTTCTCCCATCATGGAGGGGTCTGAAATTCACATTGGAGGGGCATTCCCACTCTGAGAAACAGAATTTGAAAAAAAAAAAATTCAGGAAATCCCATTGTATGATTTGTAAACAATGTATTTGTCTCGCACGCGGCTGAACAGAAGTATTTGAACCCCTGAGAAGATCCGTGTTAATATTTGGTACAGAAGCCTTTGTCTGCAATTCCAGAGGTCAGACGTTTCCTGTAGTCCTGACCAGGTTTGCACTGCAACAGGGATTTTGGCCCCTCCTCCACACCGATCTCCTCCAGATCTGTCAGGTTTCGGGGCTGTCGCTGAGCAACACGGAGTTTCAGCTCCCTCCAAAGATGTTCTATTGGATTTAGGTGTGGAGACTGGCTAGGCCACTCCAGAACCTTGATATGCTTCTTACGGAGCCACTCCTTGGTTCTCCTGGCTGTGTGCTTCGGGTCGTTGTCATGTTGGAAGACCCAGCCACGACCCATCTTCAATGCCCTGACTGAGGGAAGGAGGTTGTTGCTCAAAAATCTCACAATAAGTGGCCCCATTCATCCTCTCCTTAATACAGTGCAGTCGTCCTGTCCCCCTTCGCAGAAAAGCACCCCCAAAGCATGATGTTACCACCCCCATGCTTCACAGTAGGGATGGTGTTCTTGGGATGCAACTCATCCTTCTTTTTCCTCCAAACACGACAAGTGAAGTTTAGACCAAAAAGTTCTATTTCGGTCTCATCTGACCACATGACTTTCTCCCATGCCTCCTCTGGATCATCCAGATGGTCATTGGCAAACCTCAGACGGGCCTGGACATGTGATGACTTGAGCAGGGGAACCTTCCGTGCAATGCATGACTGGAAACCATGACGGCGTAGTGTTTTATACCGACAATGACCTTTGAAACTGGTCCCAGCTCTCTTCATGTCATTGACCAGCTCCTCCCTTGTAGTTCTGGGCTGATTCCCCACCTTTCTTATCATCAGTGATACCCCACGAGGTGAGATCTTGCATGGAGCCCCAGTCTGAGGGAGACTTACAGTCGTCTTTAGCCTCTTCCATTTTCTAACAATTGCTCCAACAGTTGATCTATTTTCACCAAGCTGCTTGGCAATTGGCCCGTAGCCCTTTCCAGCCTTGTGGAGGTCCAAAATTTTGTCTCTGGTGTCTTTTGACATTTCTTTGGTCTTGCCCATGGTAGTAGTTGGCGTCTGACTGACTGTGGGGTGGACAGGTGTCTTTAAAGAGCTCAGACAGGTGCTACTAAGTTAGATGAATGAGTGGAGTAGAGGTGGACTTTTTAAAGGCGCAGTAACAGGTCTTTGTGAGCCAGAATTCTTGCTGTTTCTTAGGTGTTCAAATACTTATGTTCATACTTAGTGCAAGTCGATAAATTCTTTAAAAATCATACAATGAGATTTCCTGAATTTTTTTTTTAAATTCTGTCTCTGAGTGGGAATGCCCCTACAATGTGAATTTCAGACCCCTCCATGATTTCTAAGTGGGGGAACTTGCAAAATCGCAGGGTGTTCAAATACTTCTGTTCCTCACTGTACTGTATATTGTCTTTTTTTTAAAATACTGAAGTTTTCCTCTTTTCTATTGTTAATAAAGGGAGGCAGTTACAGAAATGAATCGCATGTTCTAAAAAATTGAAAAGTTTTATTCTAGTTTTTGGGATTAATACTTTTATTTTCAGCATCTGAGAGTCACCTGATACAATGGGCGGCGGTCAGGACCCAGGTGTCAGAGATCAGGGTGCCTCCACAGGTGTGTCCCCAGGCGCCGCTGGATCCCTGGTACTGCAGGGAGATCTAAAGGAGACAAGAAAGATTGAATTCATTACAGTTGTGAAAAATCCTATATGTCAGCCTGGCGCTGATATGCAAAAGGTGACTTCCGTGGCATATTAAGTAGAAGCAGTGGCGTCCCAAGGCAGGTGCGGGGGGGTGCGGCTCGCACCGGGTAACACCGACCGCACGGGGTGACACCAGACCTGCTCCACGAAAAAAGGTAAGTTGTAAAGCAAGCCGATGATCCCATCCATCCTGCAGGGATTGTTGGCTTTCTTTCCAAATTACCTTTTTGTGGAGTGGGTCCGGTGTCACCCCGACGTATAGGTTGCATGCCGAGATCCCCCGCAGGATGGTTCGGATCTGCGGATGGGGAGCATAATGGATCAAACTCCGATCTATTATGCTCCCCAATCTGCAGATCCAAACCATCCTGCGGGGATCGTCGGCATGCATCCTATACGGGGAGACACCGGACCCGCTCCAAGAAAAGGTAAGTTGGAAAGAAAGCAGACGATCCCCGCAGGATGGATGGGATCTGCGGATTGGGGGAGCATAATGGATTGGAGTCCGATCCATTATGCTCGATCCGCAGATCTGATCCATTCTGCGGGGATCATCGGAGGGGGTGTCACCAAGTGTTACAGCACCGTGTGACACCAACCCTGGAGACGCCTCTGAGTAGGAGGCTTTCAGGTTATTCTAGAAATGTATGTAATTAATGTTCTCCAAAAAGGAGAGAGGGGGCTTCTAGGTAAATGTCATTTTGAATGGTAGTGAATACCAATAAACTTTATTTTTTTCAGAATCTCATGACTTTTACTGAGCCAGAGATTGCCTTTGAACTTGTAAATTAGCCTAGGGAACATGCACATCTCAGAGAATACCATAAATGCTTTCATAAAACTATATATGCAGAGAGAACTTGGTCAGAGGAGACAATTGGAACTTGGGATGACTGTTGACCCCATTACAGCTCTCTAGGGATATAATAGAGGAAAACTGGAACTTGGAGTAACTGTTGACCCTGTTACAGCCATTAAAGGATACAATAGGAGAAAATTGTAACTTGGGATGACTGTTGACCCCAATTCAGCCCTCAAAGGACAAAATAGAACACTGGGACTTGGGGTGACTGTTGACCCCATTACAGCCCCCAAAGGACAGAATAGGAGAACACTGGAACTTGGGGTGATGACCCCATTACAGCCCTCAAAGGACACAATAGAAAACTGGGACTTGGGTTGACTGTTGGCCCCATTACAGCCCTCAAAGGACACAATATTATTATTATTATTATACAGTATTTATAAAGCGTCAATAGTTTGCTCAGCGCTGTACATTACAAAGGGGGACAGAACATGTGACAGAACAATACCAATACAATGCAAAACATGAGGGGATCGAGGGCCCTGCTCTTTCGAGCTTACAATCTAGGAGGGAGGGGGTGGTGGCACAGGAGGAGATAGCTGTGGGGGATGGAGTGGTAGGAAGAGTGGAGGAGGTCGGCAAGTTAGCAGGGGGTGGGGTAGGCTTCCCTGAAGAGATGGGTTTTCAGGGTGCGCCTAAAGGAGAGGAGAGTAGTGATAATCTGATGGGTTGGGGCAGGGAGTTCCAGAGGATGGGTGACACCCTGGAGAAGTCCTGGAGGCGGGCATGGGAGGAGGAGACCAGGGAACTAGAGAGAAGGAGGTCTTGTGAGGAGCGGAGTGTGCGTGCTGGGCGGTACTTGGATATTAGGTCAGTGATGTAGTTAGGGGCAGTATGGTGGACAGCTTTGTACGTCAGCGTTAGGATTTTGAATTTGATCCGTTGCGCAATCGGAAGCCAGTGGAGGGATTGGCAGAGGGGGGTGGCGGAGACGGAGCGGTTGGAAAGGTGAATGAGTCTGGCAGCCGTATTCAGGATGGACTGAAGCGGGGATAGCCAGCGGCGAGGCAGGCCAGTGAGGAGGGAGTTGCAGTAGTCGAGTCGTGATATGATGAGGGAGTGGATGAGCTGTTTAGTGGTTTCTGGGGTTAGGAACATGCGGATTTTGGTGATGTTGCGGAGGTGGAGTCTGCACGAGTTTGTTAAAGATTGGACTTGGGGCTGGAAGGATAGGTTGGAGTCCAGAATGACACCCAGTACTCTGGCCTGCAGGGCGTGTTTGATGTTAGCGTTGTTGGACGTGACGGAGAAATCAATGGGGGGTGGTGTCCGGGCTGGGGGGGGGAAGACAAGAAACTCGGTTTTGGAGAGGTTCAATTTAACACAATAGGAGAACACTAGAACTTGGGGTGACTGTTGACCTCATTACAGCCATCAAAGGACACAATATGCAAAATTGGAACTTGGGGTGACTGTTGAAATTACAGCCCTCAAAGGAACACTAGGGGGGGGTGACTGTTGGCCCCATTACAGCCCTCAAAGGACACACTAGGAAAACACTGGAACTTGGGGTGACTGTTGACCCCATTACAGCCCTCAAAGGACACAATAGGAGAACATTGGAACTTGGGGTGACTGTTGACCCCATTACAGCCATCAAAGGACACAATAGGCAACAATTGGAACTTGGGGTGACTGTTGACCTCATTACAGCCCTCAAAGGACACAATAGGAGAACATTGGAACTTGGGGTGACTGTTGACCCCATTACAGCCATCAAAGGACACAATAGGCAACAATTGGAACTTGGGGTGACTGTTGACCCCATTACAGCCCTCAAAGGACACAATAGAACACTTGAACTTGGGGTGACTGTTGACCCCATTACAGCCCTCAAAGGGCACAATAGGAGAACACTGGAACTTGGGGTGACTGTTGACCCCATTACAGCCCTCAAAGGACAACAAGAGAAAGGAAGAAAGTCAAAGGTCATGCTGAAAAACTTACTTGATGTGCCTGGATATACTATAGGGATATTTTAAAAAGCATACAAATGTATCAAGGCAGGGACACAGTCAGCAAAAACAGATTATTTGCACTCTTCAAACATCCATCCTACTGTTTTTTTTAAGGGAATAAGCTGAGAGTTAGGTATTTTAGGTATTTTTCAGTAGTACACATTAACAATAAGATATTAAGTTCCTTGTAATCCTTTTCTTAGCTATCTGCACAGCATTATTTCAATATACAGATGTCAGTAGACATCGCTATGCATTACCCTTGACTGGCTATGAACAAACTAAAAATTTCCAACATGTTCAATGATTTATCCATTACTTTCCTATCTGATATTTACATACACGTAGTAAGGGGATGGCCCATTATTAATCATTGTATGCATAGCTTTAACCAAACAGTTTCCTGCATTTATTGGTTTTAGGTGATTTTCTGCTAAATAATATTTAATGTATTATAATGATTTGATCAACTAAGTGGAAATGTGTGTGTGTGTCTCTCTCTCTCTCTCTCTCTCTCTCTCTCAGTTGATTCAGAAATTGTTGCATTTCATCTCTTTATAACCATTTGCAAAAACGTTTTGTCTGAGCTCCTCCCTTTTTCGCTACAGTACAACTGCCTATCTCCAACAGCCTTTCACAAAGTACTAAGGAGTTCCGCAAAGCATTATAGAAGGATATATTTCAAGAGAGAACTTAGCTGGAAGTGATTTTTTAGCTTTTTGAAATACACTTCATTTAGCATACCTGCCATGGCCAGCTGTGTGGTCTTGCATCCTCGCCGTTAACTACCCTGCCAACGTTGGGCGGTATAGCGGGCACGCCACAGCTGTAGGCTACAGAGAGAAACAAAGTATTAAAAAAAATATAATAAACACAATATAATAAAGAAGGCATCTAAAGAAAAAAAAAACTATTTAAACTACACAAGCTCTGTCAACATTTTTTTCCCAGCTTTCCACTTTCTTTTTTTTAAAACCAATATAAAGAAAAAGAACAAACATTTCTGATTTGCTGGTATGGACTATCTCATCATGGCTTTTTTATGTTACTGTAAAAACCAAAGCCCAATGTGGTGGTCGGTGATGAAAAAAAACAAAAAACGTGAGATTGATTGTTCTTGAAGGTTATCAGTTGTAGCAGAATGGTGGCTGGCAGTGGGGCTACGCATGGATTTAAAAACAATACAATATGACTAGAGTGGAGTTTCATTCTCCCAAACGCACCAAAAGATAAAAACATAGCAGACTCAGGATGACCCATTTATTGGTGATCCCACTGCCAAGATTTAGCCAATTGGTAATCTCATTGCCAAGATTTAGCCAATTGGTAATCTCACTGCCAAGATTTAGCCAATTGGTAATCTCCCCACCAAGATTTAGCCAACCTGTAATCCCACCATCAAGATTTAGCCACTTGGTAATCCCGCCATCAGGTTTTAGTTTATTGGTAATCCCACCATCAAGATTTAGCCAATTGGAAATCCCCAGGCAAGATTTAGCCAACTAGAAATGCCACGGACATAATTTAGCCAATTGGTAATTACTCCGTCAAGATTTAGCCAATTGGTAATCCCACCATTAAGATTTAGCCAGATGGTAATCCCAGCGCCAAGATTTAGCTAACTGGCATTCCCACCATCAAGATTTAGCCAATTTGGAATACCACCACCAAGATTTAGCCAACTGTTAATCCCACCATCAAGATTTAGCCAATTGGAAATGCCACCACCATGACTAACCAGTTGGTAATCCCATCATCAAGATTTAGACAACTGGTAATCACACCATCAAGATTTAGCCAGTTGAAAATCCCACCACCAAGATTTAGCTAACTGGCATTCCTACCATCAAGATTTAGCCAATTGGCAATCCCACCATCAAGATTTAGCCAATTAGAAATCCCACTGCCAAGACTAGCCAACTGGTAATCCCATCATCAAGATTTAACCAATTGGCAATCCCACCACCAAGATTTAGCCAATTGTTAATCTCACCATCAAGATTTAGCGAATTGGAAATCCCACCGCCAAGACTAGCCAATTGGTAATCCCATCATCAAGATTTAGCCAATTGGCACACCCACCGCCAAGATTTAGCCAGATGGAAATCCCACCACCAAGATTTAGCCAGATGGAAATCCCACCACCAAGATTTAGCTAACTGACATTCCCACCATCAAGATTTAGCCAATTGGTAATCCCACCATCAAGATTTAGCCAATTGTTAATCCCACCACCAAGATTTAGCCAATTGGTAATCCCACCACCAAGATTTAGCCAATTGTTAATCCCAGCATCAAGATTTGGCCAATTGGTAATCCCACCACCGAAATGTACAGGCTGCATCTGACTAAACCCTTCCCGTAGCACCGTAGCATTCAACTTCAAATGTCTCTGATGTTAATAGCATCTAGTAGGGCAGTTGTGTTATGTAACAGAGTTCTCAAAAAAAGGCACAAGGACGAGTCTTCAACTTACCGTAGCTAAGGCAGATTGCAAGCACCACGAGTTGAAGCATTGTGTTGGTGACCTGTAGAATAACTGATCCAACGCCTTATATACACAAACTATCTCATTCTACGAGACCACCTTCATCAGGTGCGATAATGGTGACCAATAGAAACAGTACAAATTTCTGGTATGGAAAAAGGCTAGAGGTCATTATACATTGAAAAGATAAGATTGTCGACTTATAGATTATAGGTTAAAGCAGGTGCATGAATCCCACAATATCCACAGGGGCCAAAGAGCCATCCACATCCGAGATACACCTGAGGTGAGCCAGAGGGGCTTTTTTTTACATCAAGGACCTCTGAAAAATTGATGCTGAAGGTGAACATTTGTTTTATGGAGAATCGTAAGATGGAGTTTCAGCCAAACTTTTTTTTTTTTTTTTTTAGTTTATAAGGAGTGAGGAAGGAAATGATTGGATTTACAATCGAAGCGCCACATCATAATATCCAAGTCCAAATATCTCCCTCTCGTCCTAGTGGTTGATAGTTACACTCTTCTTTATAGGCTGGCTCTGCAAAGCTAAGTGATACATACATTCAGGGCTGCTGTTAGAAACCACGGGGCCCTATGCAGCAAACCTGGCAGGGCCCCATCACCAAAAAAAAAAAATATGCTTCAGTTATGAATGAACACAGTGAGTAGTTGTTACCGATCACTCATTGTGTTCATTCAGGGAAGAAAGGGGCTGGTAAATGTGACAATTAGCAGACCCATTCCCCACTATGAATCCTGAAGGATCCTATTGTGTGCTTGCGGATGCTGGTGGAAAGGAGAGGAGGGGAGCCAGAAGCACTGTGGGGGTGGGGGCACATAGGAGGGCCTGGGCAGCAGTGGGAAACGTATGGTGCACAGGGAGGGAATGGGTGCAGTGGGGGCAATTACTGGAACCGTTCTCCTGTGTGGCTCTCTCTGCTGCAGCTGAAAGCCAATGGGAGGAAGAGAAGAAGAAGCCACCCTCTCTGCCTATATCTGATTCAACCAGCTGCCTGCCCCCCCCCCCCCCCCCCGGGCTGGGCCCCATACAGGACGACTGGTGGTACCCCCTTATCCACGGCCCTGCATACATTAGTATTCAATGTATTATTTGTAATTACTATTTTAAATGCATGAGCAAATATCGTAGTTCATTTTTATTAATTAATTATTTGATCCTTAGCAGTCAAAGCAGTAATAAATGCTGAAGCAAAAATGTATAATATTGCATCTTACCAATTCAACATTTGTTTTCTTTTTTTAGGCTTTTCTTTCTTTTAATTTTCACTAGCCAGTAAGGTTGTTACTTTTTAATAGAACAAGCTGTACTGCAGATGTAGCTGTTAGAGGATTGAGACAAACCATTTAACACTGACAGAGTTACAATGCTTTTATTTTCGTAGGTAAAACCTTTACCGCGGTTGTCACCGACGCAGGAAGTGAAGGGAAATTTCCCCAATTTGGACACAATAATGGGTGATTGACACGGGTCTATCCCTTACACAACTCACAGAAATCAGCTCCTGCAAAAACCAAGAAAGGAAAATAGGATGCAAACCTGAGGTGTGTGTAGCCTATTTTCTGTGTGTTTTAGGTAGCACCCTTCCAGAATACTCTGGTGGCACCTTCTCTTTTTTCCTTCCTTGACTATTGTGGGCTTCCTGGCTTTCCTAATTTCCCCTTTCCCTTCTTTTTCAGATATCAGTTTCTATCATGGAAGGACTAGCTGGTTGTGTTTCCCCCTTCCCTTCTTTTTTAGAAATCAGTTCCTACTATGGAAGGACTAGTTGGTTGCCCCCAATTTTACAGTGAATACTAATGTATGCAGGGCCGTGGATAAGGGGGTATCACCAGTCCTCCTGTTGGTTGGTCGTAAGTAAAACCTTTAACGAGGTTGTCACCGACGCAGGAAGTGAAGGGAAATTTCCCCAATTTGGACACAATAATGGATGACTGACACGGGTCTATCCCTTACACAACTCACAGAAATCAGTTCCTGCAAAAACCAAGAAAAGAAAATAGGCTGCACACCTGAGGTGTGAAGTCTAATTTCTTTTCTTGGTTTTTGTTATGTGTTTCAGGTAGCACCCTTCCAGAATACTCTGGTGGCACCTTCTCTTTTTTCCCTTCCTTGACCATTGTAGACTTCCCAGCTTTTCTAATTTCCCCCTTCCCTTCTTTTTTCAGAAATCAGTTCCTACTATGGAAGGACTAGTTGGTTATTCCCAATTATACAGTGAATATCAATGTATGCAGGGCTGTGGATAAGGGGGTACCACCAGTCCTCCTGTTGGTTGGTCGTATGTAAAACCTTTATTGAGGTCATCACCTACGCAGGAAGTGAAGGGAAATTTCCCCAATTTGGACACAATAATGGATGACTGACAGGGGTCTATCCCTTACACAACTCACAGAAACTTACAGAAATCAGTTCCTGCAAAAACCAAGAAAAGGAAATAGGTCCTTCCAGAATACTCTGGTGGCACCTTCTCTTTCTCTTCCTTGACTATTGTGGGCTTCTCGGCTTTCCTAATTTCCTCCTTCCCTTCTTTTTCAGAAATCAGTTCCTACTATGGAAGGACTAGTTAGTTGTCCCCAATTATACAGTGAATACTAATGTATGCAGGGCTGTGGATAAGGGGGTACCACCAGTCCTCATGTTGGTTGGTTGTATGTAAAACCTTTACCGCGGTTGTCACTGACATAGGAAGTGAAGGGAAATTTCCCCAATTTGGACACAATAATGGATGACTGACAGGGATCTATCCCTTACACAACTCACAGAAATCAGTTCCTGCAAAAACCAAGAAAAGAAAATAGGCCCTTCCAGAATACTCTGGTTGCACCTTCTTTTTCCCTTCCTTGACTATTGTGGACTTTCCGGCTTTCCTAATTTCCCCCTTCCCTTCTTTTTCAGAAATAAAGTTTTTATTGCTTATAAGTGCTACAGTGATGGTCACTGTTATAACCAGGGGCAGACTGACAACTCATGGGGCCCCCAGGCAAAAGGGGATCATGGGGCCCCTGTGTCCTTGCCCAAACTCAAAAAAGCCCATGAAAAAGGTACCAGAGGCATCTCATGGGGCCCCCTACTGAACCCGGGCCCTCAGGCAGGGCCGAGTTTCCAAATGGTCAGTCCGCCTCTGGTTATAACCAATTGTTTTAACTGACTTTCACTCACTCACAGCTAATCACATGGTAGAGGGTGCCAGGTACCATAAGATAGCTGTGGGCCAATCACAGCATCGCAGCAGTAAGCTGTTTTGAATAGAAGCCATTCATGGCAGTTTTGCTTACATTGTATTCATGTGATGGCTATGATTGGTCTTAGCCCGGCCGCTCACAGCATGTGCACCACAAGATACTAGTAACCACAGCAGCCAATCAGAATTGATCTAAGATCTGAAGCCAGTGAAATGAGATCTGATTGGCTGCTTTGGGTTGCTGCACCGTTACAGGACAGGGCTGCCTAAACTCAGCCTTTACCACAAACCAACCAATGGAAGCGAAATCAACTGAGAAAATGATTCAGAGACAAGGAGGATCTGTTTGCTCACTCATCTTTATTAGTTCATAAATTCTAAGACTTGTCTAGATAGTAAAAGAGCAGATGGAGAATCCTACGGCCTTGCCATGGGAGAGGTCTTTCAGTTATTGTTGATTTTCTGCAAAAAAAAACAAAGGGAATATGTCAGAAACATATTATATTATACCTATATAGTGTATGTAATCCAATGTTTTTCATCTGTTCCAATGCTCCTCCCTCTCTCTTGTTTCCCTATTCGTGTAATAAGGATCCAAGCTGGTACAAAAAAAAATTGGCTGCCTGTGTTTACTTCTTCGACAACGCAAAGAGATATGGCATTTCCAGCATGCCTTTTTCTAGAATTGGGTTGTAAAATAAGAAGAAAGACAAAAGGAACTCCTGTGGCCCTAAACCAGGGGTCTACCAAAATTTCTAAACAAGGAGCCGGTTTACTGTCCTTCAAAATTTAGGGGGGCTGGACTGTGACCAATGGGAGAAGAAAATGTCCTGGCGTCAGTGGGAGTAAATAATGCCCCATCATTGGTATTGGGGGGGGGGGGGGGGGGATAGTGCCTCATCATTGATATTAAGGGGAGGAATAGTGCCTCTTCACTGGTATCATTGGGAGGAACAGTGCCCCATCATTGGTATCAATGGGAGGAATAGTGCCCCATCATTGGTGTCAGTGGGAGGAATAGTGCCCCATCATTGGTATCAATGGGAGGAATAGTGCCCCATCATTGGTATCAATGGGAGGAATAGTGCCCCATCATTGGTGTCAGTGGGAGGAATAGTGCCCCATCATTGGTATCAATGGAGGAATAGTGCCCCATCATTGGTGTCAGTGGGAGGAATAGTGCCCCATCATTGGTTACAGTGTGAGGAATAGTGCCCCATCATTGGTATCAATGGGAGGAATAGTGCCCCATCATTGGTGTCAGTGGGAGGAATAGTGCCCCATCATTGGTGTCAGTGGGAGGAATGGTGCCCCATCATTGGTGTCAGTGGAGGAATAGTGCCCTTTCATTGGTGTCAGTGGGAGGAATAGTGTCCCATCATCATGGTGTCAGTGGGAGGAATAGTGCCCCATCATTGGTGTCAGTGGGAGGAATAGTGTCCCCATTGGTATCAGTGGGAGGAATAGTGTCCCATCATTGGTATCAGTGGGAGGAATAGTGCCCCATCATTGGTGTCAGTGGAGGAATAGTGCCCTTTCATTGGTGTCAGTGGGAGGAATAGTGCCCCATCATTGGTGTCAGTGGGAGGAATAGTGCCCCATCATTGGTGTCAGTGGGAGGAATAGTGTCCCATCATTGGTATCAGTGGGAGAAATAGTGCTCCATCATTGGTGTCAGTGGAGGAATAGTGTCCTTTCATTGGTGTTAGTGGGAGGAATAGTGTCCCATCATTGGTGTCAGTGGGAGGAATAGTGCCCCATCATTGGTATTAGTGGGAGGAATAGTGCCCCATCATTGGTGTCAGTGGGAGGAATAGTGCCCCATCATTGGTGTCAGTGGGAGGAATAGTGCCCCATCATAGGTATCAGTGGGAGGAATAGTGCCCCATCATTGGTATCAGTGGGAGGAATAGTGCCCCATCATTGGTGTCAGGGGAGGAATAATGCCTCATCATTGTGGTGGGAGGAATAGTGCCCCATCATAGGTATCAGTGGGAGGAATAGTGCCCCATCATTGGTATCAGTGGGAGGAATAGTGCCCCATCATTGGTGTCAGTGGGAGGAATAGTGCCCCATCATTGGTGTCAGTGGGAGGAATAGTGCCCCATCATTATTATCAATAGGAGTAATAGTGCCCCATCATTGGTATCAGTGGGAGGAATAGTGCCCCATCATTGGTGTCAGTGGGGGAATAGTGCCCCCATCATTATTATCAATAGGAGTAATAGTGGCCCATTGTCGATGTCAGTGGGAGAAATTATGCCACGCTGTTGCCAGATAAAAGCAAGCAGAGGGCTGCATCTGGCCCCCGGGCCACAGTTTGGAGACCAGTGCCCTAAACTAAAATATCATGTTGATGCCTCTGTATGGCTAAGTTCACACAAGCCAAAGATCTGAAAAGCGGTCCAAGGTTGATTGCTTTTCAGAGCCACCATCAGGATTTCAGGAGGCGTTCCTGCAGCTACCCGAATGCTTTCTTTTTTTTTTCTTTTTGCTGAATAGCAGTTTGCAATGAGGCTAATGCCCTGCAAACAGCAAGCCGAATGCTTGGTTATGGTGAGGCCCCAATGACTTGAAAGGGTGAGTTTTACTCTTGGCACATATAAAAGACACAAATGAATGCAGCTTTTCACTGAATAATACATTCTTTCCCTTTTGTTTATGCAAGCAGCGGAAGAAGAAGCAGCAGCACAGGTAGGCAATCATTTGTACCAGTAGCTGACTGTTGTCAGTCGGACTTACATCGTTGATCCAGTCGATGTAGGCGGAGACTCTGGTGAAGACGGTTGGCTTCTTCTCGTAGTTGCAGCTGAGGCCGGAACCGAAGCTGACAACGCCGTGCACTTCCCAGGATCCATCGGTGGACTGAACGTTCAGGGGACCACCGAATCACCCTGCAGAGCACAATGCAACCATCAATACGGCGATTTAAAAGCGACAGCTGTACACCAGGGATCTACAAAGACATCTCATTTATTAAAAAAATGAAAGAAAGGGCTAAAATAGTATTTCTGCTGGAGAAGATGCTGCTCTGGGTTTGCTCCAGTTCTGCTCATGTAATCAGGAAAGCCTAGGCATTCGATCATGTGATCTCTGCTGGAACAGAGGATCAAAGTTCAGAAGGCTGAAACTCCCCCATCCAATGGAAATTGCATGACCAATGAGGTAGGATGAACCAACTTCTTCCCCTCTTGGGGGTGCACATCTCCTATGCCTGAATCTCAAATTTTACAAAAAGGAAAATACTCAGTAAAATGGACTTTTAAGGTGTCCATGGATTACTAGTAGCTAAAATCACATATAATTTTATTGTGCTTAAATTGTATATATTATTAACTATTCGTCTGTAATCCTTGGGCACCTTAAAAGTCCATTTTATTAGGTATTTTCTATTGGCTCGCCATCATCTTTCAGAAATAGTATGAATCTAACATTTGGTGACCTATATGAAGGAGAACTGCGACTTACGTTGCATGCAGAGACAATGCCGTCACCACCAGCGCAGACCATGGTGTCCTTGACCTGCCAGCCCCACCAATCAGACTTGGAGCAGGTAGTATGGTCCACCACTCCCCCCACCCCCCCCCCCCCCCCCCCCCCCCCCCCCCCCGGGAGGAGAGCCTGCTGGAGGTTGTCAGCGATGGGTCCGCCAGCTGAAACATAAAGCACACAATGACAAGGGACCGGCGAATGGGGGTGGGGAGGGGGTGCTACTGACAGCTGTAAGATCTACCAAAATCCAGTACAAGAGGAGCTACTGACTATGGGGGGGAAGGGGGAGATGAAAGGCCAACCAAGCCGTTTCTGTGGATGGTCACATTTAAAGCCAAACTAAATTCAATTTTTTTTTTAAAGTGAGGAAGAGATGAAGTTCTGCAGTTCAATGGTGAAGCAGTACATTTTTCTGAAACAGGGAATTATTGGAACTGTAAAGAGGGAGGGAGTGAAGAAAAAGAAGAGGAAGGAAAGAATAGAAAGGACATGGAGGGAGGGAAGGAAGAAAAGGATAAAAGCGAAATGGAAAGAAGGAATGAAATTGTAAGAAAGGAAGGAAGAATTAGAAAGGAGATGGAGGGAAGGAAGAAAATGATAGAGATGAAATGTAAGGAGGGAAGAAAAAAAGGAAAAAGGAAATGGGAGAAGAAAAAAAAAATAGAGGAAGGAAGGAAGGAACAAAGGAAGTGTATGAAAAGATGGAAAGAAATGAAAAGAAGTGAAAGGAAAGAATACAAAAGGAAATGTAAGAAAAGCAGGAAAGAAAAGGTAGGAAGGAAGGAAGGGGAAATGGAAGAAAGGAAAAGAAAGAATGGAGAGAAAGAATGAAAGAAATGAAATAAAAGGGAAAGAAGGAAGGAAAAAAGGAAAAAAGGGATGGAAGGAAAAAAAGGAAAAGGGATGGAAGGAAGGAAAAAAGGAAAAAGATGGAAGGAAAAAAAGGAAAAGAAGAGGAAGGAAGGAAAAAAAAGGAAAAGAAGAAGGAAGGAAGGAAAAAAGGAAAAGAAGAGGAAGGAAGGAAAACAGGAAGGAAGTGTATGAAAAGATGGAAAGAAATGAAAAGAAGTGAAAGGAAAGAATACAAAAGGAAATGTAAGAAAAGCAGGAAAGAAAAGGTAGGAAGGGGAAATGGAAGAAAGGAAAACAAAGAATGGAGGGAAAAAAGGAAAGAAATGAAAGAAAGGGAAGGAAGGAAAAAATAAAAAGAAGAGGAAGGAAGGAAGGAAAAAGTAATAGCAGAGGAAGGAATGAAAAAAGGAAGGGAAAGGAAGTGTATGAAAAGAATGAAAGGAATGAAAAGAAGAAAGGAAAGAATAAGAAAACAGGAAAGAAAATGTAGGAATGAAGGAAAGAAGGGGAAATGGAAGAAAGGAAAAGAAAGAATGGAGGGAAGGAAGGAAAGGGAGGAAAGGAAGAAAAGAAAAAGGGAAGGAAGGAAAGAAAAAAGGAAAAGTAGAGGAAGGAAGGAAAAAGTAAAAGAAGAAGAAGGAAGGAAGGAACTGACTGGTTTGGGGTCATGGATGGGCCATATGAAGTTGGGACAGTTGAACCGTTAGTTTAAGTAACATACAGACAGGATTTCATAGGAAAAGAAGCTCTGAAGTCTAAACCTTTTTCAGTTTATAATTGAGGAAGGCATTTCCTGTGAGTGTTCCTTTGGGGAGATTTACCTTCATTCCTGTTCTGTAGCCACAACAGGAAGTGAGAGGAACCTTCTCCAAAGTGAAGGGAAATCCTCTCCTAGACAGTTATCACTGGAACGGGTGTCCTCAGTCAAAGATTTCCCCTCAATTCCAGCTCCAGTGAAATTTCCTATCACTTTCTGTATCAGAGAAAAGGATACCAAGCTACAGAGAGGGGGAATCTCCCCAGAGAGGCAACAGCAATAACAAAAACCCTACGGAGATTCGAACACTTCCACACTTCATCCAAAACTAAAAGATAGATAGTCTGTGCCTGTAGACATGTATGAACAAGGTTAGCCACAGGCGCTTTGTGCTTCCTTTTCTTAGGAAGGACTTTTAATGGCTGACGGGGTCACTTTAAATATCAGAACCATCAGTATAAATTCTAATTCTCCTTTAAAGGTAAAGATATCACTTACTGTACAGACGACCCCATCCAGTCACAAAACTGCTTGAATCATGGGCCAAGAGGGCACCAGTAGAGGGCAGACAGGCGGGCTGAATGCTGTTGCTGAGTGGTGCGGGTTGGGACAGCTTGATCAGGGCGATGTCGTTGCTGAAAGAACACAAATACATCAGTTACATGGCTATTGTGGGGTTAAAACAGTAAATGGGACCCAATAAAAGCCACAAACCCGTGCAGTACTGGAAATCACTGATATCAGTCAGCACGACTTTTCAGATGATATTTTGCTTTCCAGTAATGTTCAGAACAAAGGAACACAGCTTGGGAGAACTGAGAAGAAAACCTGGGTGACCAGGGGACAGTTTTATAGGGAGGGTTAGTGTTGCAGGGAACATCGGTGTTAGGGTTACAGAGAGAATTTAGTGTTAGGCTTGCGGGAAGGATTAGTGTTAGGCTAGTGCTATCTGTAGTGATTTGCGCTCAGATCACTAAAAGAGAGGAGGATTGGACAGATGGTGAGGTGTTGTATTGCCTCCTCACTGCTTGCTTTAGCGCTTTGATATCAGCACTAGTGAGTCTCAGCCGAGTACATTGGGGCACTTGCAGAATGGCCCCATTCACTTGAATGGGTCGCTTTCAATGGAAGCTATGGCAGCCAAAAGCTACAGGGCGTATAATTCTTGCTGTGGCTTGTGTACACCCCCACAGTGCCTCTGCAGTTAAAGGGGGTAGCATTTGGGGAGCTGTAAAAGAGTGGAGTTTTACCACCACCCTCCCGAAGCTCACATTTGAATGAACCATTAGGGATACAGAAAGAATTTAGTGTTAGGGTTACGAGGAGGGCTAGTGTTAGAGATAAAGGGAGAGTTAGAGTTTTGGGGTTGTAAGGAGGGTTAGAGTTGAGGTTATAAGGAGGGTTAGTGTTCGGGATATAGGGAGGGTTAGTGTTGGGGATATAAGGAGGGTTAGTGTTGGGGTTATATAACAAGGGTTAGTGTTGGGGTTACAGGGAGGGTAAGTGTTGGGATTACAGGAAGGGTTAGTGTTGGGGTTGCAAAGGGAGGGTTAGTGTTGGGGTTACAGGAAGAGTTAGTGTTGGGGTTGCAAAGAGGGTTAGTGTTGGGGTTACAGGGAAGAGTTAGTGTTGGGGTTACAGGAAAGGGTTAGTGTTGGGGTTACAGGGAAGGGTTAGTGTTGGGGTTACAAAGAGGGTTGGTTTTGGGGTTAGAGGGAGGGTTGGTTTTGGGGTTACAGGGAGGGTTAGTGTTGGGGTTACAGGGAGGGTTAGTGTTAGGGTTACAGGGAGGGTAAGTGTTGGGGTTACAAGGAGGGTTAGTATTGGGGTTACAAAGAGGGTTAGTGTTGGGGTTACAAAGAGGGTTAGTGCTGGGGTACAGGGAGGGTTAGTGTTGGGGTTACAGGCAGGGTTAGTTTTGGGGTTACAGGGAGGGTTAGTGTTGGGGTTACAGGGAGGGTTAGTGTTGGGGTTACAAGGAGGGTTAGTGTTGGGGTTACAAGGAGGGTTAGTATTGGGGTTACAAAGAGGGTTAGTGTTGGGGTTACAAAGAGGGTTAGTGTTGGGGTACAGGGAGGGTTAGTGTTGGGGTTACAAGGAGGGTTAGTGTTGGGGTTACAGGGAGTGTTATTGTTGGGGTTACAGGGAGGGTTAGTGTCGGGGTTACAAAGAGGGTTAGTGTTGGGGTTACAGGGAGGGTTAGTGTTGGGGTTACAGGGAGGGTTAGTGTTGGAATTACAGGGAGGGTTAGTTTTGGGGTTACAGGGAGGGTTAGTGTTGGGTTTACAAGGAGGGTTAGTGTTGGGTTTACAAGGAGGGTTAGTGTTGGGGTTACAAGGAGGGTTAGTATTGGGGTTACAAAGAGGGTTAGTGTTGGGGTTACAAAGAGGGTTAGTGTTGGGGTACAGGGAGGGTTAGTGTTGGGGTTACAAGGAGGGTTAGTGTTGGGGTTACAGGGAGTGTTATTGTTGGGGTTACAGGGAGGGTTAGTGTCGGGGTTACAAAGAGGGTTAGTGTTGGGGGGTTACAGGAAGGGTTAGTGTTGGAATTACAGGGAGGGTTAGTGTTGGAATTACAGGGAGGGTTAGTTTTGGGGTTACAGGGAGGGTTAGTGTTGGGTTTACAAGGAGGGTTAGTGTTGGGTTTACAAGGAGGGTTAGTGTTGGGGTTACATGGAATGTTAGTATTAGGACTACAGTGATGGTTGATGTTCAGGGTTACGGGACTAGCTGGGACTGAAGATCAGGACCATCAACATCTAGCCTTACCTTAACACCAGAGGAGAAATACATAAATACAATCCATCACACATTGTACATTCTGAAGTCATGTCATACTCACAGGATGAATAAAGAATTCCATTTTTCATGGACAATGATCTTCTCAGGGGAAATGGCAACAGATCCTTCTTCTTCCGCAATCTGCAGGCTGTGTTTGCCCATAAAAACTCTGTATGTTCTTGAGGAGCTGGACAAAACAAAAGTGAAATTGGATGAGTGCTTCGGAGGGAAATCTTTGCACCAGTTGTCACCCAACCTAGGACTCCCCCGATGTTTAATCTTTTATTTCCTGTCCACAGTGTTCTTAGCTGAGGTGTGGGCATGATACAATGAGGACACGTTCCCGAATTACCTGCATGCATTGGCATTTGAGTGTGCCAACAGCTGCACTTTGCCAGTTATGCCGTAAACAATGTAACGCTGCTCCAGATTGGCCTGCTACCATGATGCCACACACCTCCCGCCTGGGTGCAAGCCTAGCTCTTCACGCTGAACACGGTGTATAAACAAAACTCTGGTTGGCTGCACTCCAAATAAAGTCCATATTTATTGTATAAAAAAGCAACATGATACAGCAATCGAGCAATGCGGAGAACGAGAAAAAGTCAATGCGTTTCATGCTGCTCTAGAGCTTAACCACTTCCAGTCTGGACACTTTCACCCCCTTCCAGTCCAGACACTTTCACCCCCCTTCCAGTCCGGACACTTTCCCCCCCTTCCAGTCCGGACACTTTCCCCCCCTTCCAGTCCGGACACTTTCACCCCCCTTCCAGTCCGGACACTTTCACCCCCCTTCCAGTCCGGACACTTTCACCCCCTTCCAGTCCGGACACTTTCCCCCCCTTCCAGTCCGGACACTTTCACCCCCCTTCCAGTCCGGACACTTTCCCCCCCTTCCAGTCCGGACACTTTCACCCCCCCTTCCAGTCCGGACACTTTCACCCCCCTTCCAGTCCAGACACTTTCCCCCCCTTCCAGTCCAGACACTTTCCCCCCCTTCCAGTCCAGACACTTTCCCCCCCTTCCAGTACAGACACTTTCCCCCCCTTCCAGTACAGACACTTTCCCCCCCTCCCAGTACAGACACTTTCCCCCCCCCCTTCCAGTCCGGACACTTTCCCCCCCCTTCCAGTCCGGACACTTTCCCCCCCTTCCAGTCCGGACACTTTCACCCCCTTCCAGTCCGGACACTTTTACCCCCTTCCCCCCTAGGCCAATTTTCAGCTTTCAGCCCTATCACACTTTGAATGACGATTGCACGGTTATGCAACACTGTACCCATATGAATTTTTTTAGCATTTTTTTTGAGACGGATAAAACTTTATTTTGGTGGTATTTATTCACCGCTGGGATTTTTTTTTTTTTTTTTGCTATATAAATTAAAAAAAGTCCAAACATTTTTTTAAAAAGTGTTTTTCTTTTAAAATTTTGCAAATAAATAATATTTCTTCATAAATCTTGGCCAAAATGTATTCAGTCATCTTTTTATACAGTTATCGTTTATATACAGAAGCCGGACGGGAAGTGGTTAGTCAGTAGAGCATTACAGCAGTGCGAAACGCATTGATTTCTTCTCATTTCCCGCAGTGCTCGGTTGCTGTATCCTATTTCTTTTTAAACAACAAAGGTGGACTTTATTTGGAGTGCAGCTGCCCGGATTTTTGTTTATTCCAAAAGCAGTGAGCCAACCAGTGCACAGGTCCCCAAGTTGCCATTGATGCAAGGAAGTGAAGAAGCAATTTTATAACAACATCAAATGTACTTTCATAGCAGTTCTATATTAATGATCTTTTTGAACATTTCGAACTTTTGTATTGCTAACAAAGCAAAGCAGTTACAAGAAATGTGTCACATGTGACCAAAAAATGCAAAAGGCTCATGAGTTTTTGGGAATATTTTAATTTCAGTATCTGAAAGTCACCTGATACAGTGGGCGGCAGTCAGGACCCAGTTTTCAGAGATCAAGGTGCCACCACAGGTGTGTCCCCATGCTCCGCTGGATCCCTGGTACTGAAGGGAGATCTAAAAGGAGATAAAGAAGATTGAATTCATTATTGTGCAGCAACCTACATGTCAGCCTGGTACTGCTATGCAAAAGTGACTTGTTTTTAGGTTCTAGAAATGTGGGTCAATAATGCTCTCCAAAAGGAGAGAGGGGACTCCTAGATAAATATTTTTCATTGCAGTGCATATCAAACTGTTTTTTTTTACAGAATCTCATGGCCTTTGCTGAACCAGAACATGGTCCTTTGAGTGCTGATACATGAAGGCAAATTGTGAATTAGCTTGTAGAGCAACTAATGCCATAGATGTTTTCTTTGGTAGAACTGTTCATGCAGACAGCTTTGTGACACAAAAGAAGAAAACTGAAACTTGGGGTGACTTTTGACCCCATTACAGCCCCTTAAAGGACATCAGGGGAACACCAGAAAGTCAAAGGTTTTTGGAAAACTCGCTTGATGTGCCTGGTTATATTATAGGAATATTTAAAATGTTTACAAATGATTTAATGTATACACACAGCCAAAACTGAGTGTGTGATTTGTATGAAGTAGAACTGTGCATGCAGAAAGCACTTTGTTTGCAGACAGCTTTGTGGCACACCAGAAGAAAATTGGAATTTGGGGTGACAATTACTATTAACAATACGGAATTAAGATTTTGCAATCCTTGGGGTGACTTTTGCCCCCTTTACAGCCCCTTAAAGGACATCGGGGACAGTAGAAAGTCATATTGGCAAACTTGCTTGATGTGCCTGGTTATACTATAGGAATATTTAAAAAATGTACATATCCCATAAGGCATACACAATGACAAAACATTCATGGCACTGTTTTTGAAGCAATCAGTGGCACACATTAACAATAGGGAATTAAGATTATTCAATCCTTGGGGTGACTTTTGACCCCATTACAGCCCCTAAAGGATATCAGGAGAACAGTAGAAAGTCATATTGGTGAACTTGCTGAATGTGTCTGGTTATACTACAGGAATATGTAAAAAGTAAAGGTATACACACAAACTGATTAGTATCTGCACTGATCAAATGTTCACGATACCATTTTTTGAAGAAAATAAGCTGAGGCACTAGAGAGCAGTTAGCTGTTATCATCATTGACACACATTAATAATAAGATATTTAAGTTTCTTGTAATCATTTCCTAATCTCCCTACACATCATTATTTCACTGTACAGTTTTTGGTAGACATCTCCATACATTGCGCACACATGGCTACGAACAAAAAAATGTTCCAACATGTCCAATCATTTATCCATTGATTAATATCCGACATTTACATACACACATTAATTTGAGGGGACCACCCGTAATTACTTATTTGTGTATGCATACCTTGAAACTCAAAGTGCAGTAACCAATCAGCTCTCTGCGTTTGTCAGTCTTAAAGTAGAATTCCCAGTCAAATTCTAAATAAGGCGAAATTATTTTTACTGGGTTTAACTTTTCTTTTTTAATTTCTTCAGTTGCTTCCTGGTCTCTTGCCTAGGCCACAAAGATGTCATACTGTACATCCCAAGGCGTCTTCTTGGGAGGAGGGGCTTTCTCAGGTAAGCAAACCTCGAACTAAGGGCACATGGATTCCAGGAAGCAAATGCTGCATGAAATTGGTAAAACCCACCATCAATACTTAGTAAATTGATAATCCTACTGTCAAGATTTAGCCAATTGATAATCCCGCTATCAAGGTTTCCCCAGTTGAAAATCCCACCTTCAAAATTTAGCCAGTTGGTAATCCCATCATCAAGATTTAGCCAATTGGTAATCCCACCATCAAGATTTAGCCAATTGGTAATCCCACCATCATGGTTTAGCCAACTGAAAATCCCACCATCAAGGTTAAGCCAATTGAAAATCCCACCATCAAAATTTAGACAATTAGTAATCCCACCATCAAGATTTAGCCAATTGGTAATCCCACCATCAAGGTTTAGCCAATTGGTAATCCCACCATCAAGGTTTAGCCAATTGGTAATCCCACCATCAAGGTTTAGCCAATTGGTAATCCCACCATCAAAATGTAGCCAATTGGTAATCCCACCATCATGATTTAGCCAATTGGTAATCAAATTCTAAATAAGACGAAATCTACTCCCATCCCCATTCTCAGAATATTCTATCTACCCTGTAAAAGAAAAGATATCTATACCTACCTATTCTGAAGGTGCTACGGTCTGGGCACATGACCAACCGACAACAGTAAGTCTATGGATGATATCATTGCCCAGGCTCTGCAGCCGATGTCGCGGTCTCTCCTCTACACTGAAGAGGGTGCTGGAACCTGATCATGTGACCGGACCACTCTCAGAATAGACCTCTTTTCTTTTACAGGTAGATAGAATAGGCTTAGAATGGGAGAGGGAGCAGATTGAAGCTTATTTAGAATTTTAATATAATTCCACTTTAACTGACTTGCACAAAATCATTTTTCTAAATACTTAAAATTACTGGGACAATTTGTCCAATTAAAGTTGAAATGTGTTTCTGAAATTTCTGCATTTCATCTCTTTCTAGGCATCTGTAAAATGTTCACGGCTAAGCTCCTCCCTTTTCTCTGTAACACAACTTCCTAGCTTCAACAGCCCTTCACAAAGCACTAAGGAGGTCCACAAAGAATTAAAAGGAGGATATATTTCCAGACAGAATTTAGCTGGAACTGGAAGTGAATTTGTAGCTTGTTGAAATGTACTTCACTGAGCGTACCTGCCATGGCCAACTGTGTGGTCTTGCATCTTCGCCATTAACTACCCTGGTGACGCTGGGTGGTACAGCTGGCTGTCCACAGCCGTAGGCTACAAAGAAACAAAACATCATTTACCATTTCCTTAATTCCTTTTTTTTTTTTAGAAAAAAAAAAAAAAAAATGACCAAAAATAATTTCTACAAATGTTTGCTTTCTTCCTAAATTTAACATTGAATCACCAGATTATGATACTTGTTGGCACCTTAAAGCAGAACTATACTCTCTAAATAAAAATGTACTATTTGTAATCCTTATGCAGCTAGCATTAGTAAATAGATAGGTAGGTAAATTATTCTTACTGGGATTAATTTTTTTTTTTTTTTACATTTCTTCAGTTGCTTCCTGGTCTCTTGCTTAGGCCAAAAAGATGTCATGATGTACATCCCAAGGGGTCTTCTTGGGAGGAGGGGCTCTCAGTTAAACACACCGTGAACTAAGGGTAGATGGATTCCATGAAGCAAATGCTGCGTGAATAATTTGCCTTTACTCAAGATGGCCACAGCTTTGAAATGCTAAGGGGTTGTTTTTCAAAGTGATTTCTCAGCAAAATAAAGCATGGAGACATGGATGGATGGGGGAGGTTGCTTAGAATTTTAAAGAATGTATTCAATAAGATTTTCAGTTTGTGGTGTTCAGATGCAGTTTGGTCCTGCTTTATTAGTCTAGTACAGTGGTGGGCAACCTTTTTTTTTCAACTGAGCCAAATCTCGCCAAAACCACGATTGAAATTTATTTTGAGAGCCACATTTTTAAAACTGAAAATACATAGGATGGTACACTGTTTTTAGTTTCAATAAGTTTTTATAGTAATTCATCCCCCATAGTAATTCATCCCCCATATAGTAATTCATCCCCCATAGTAATTCATCCCCCATATAGTAATTCATCCCCCATAGTAATTCATCCCCCATATAGTAATTCATCCCCCATAGTAATTCATCCCCCATAGTAATTCATCCCCCCTATAGTAATTCATCCCCATAGTAATTCATCCCCCCTATAGTAATTCATCCCCCATATAGTAATTCATCCCCCATAGTAATTCATCCCCCATAGTAATTCATCCCCCATATAGTAATTCATCCCCCATATAGTAATTCATCCCCCATAGTAATTCATCCCCCATATAGTAATTCATCCGCCATAGTAATTCATCCCCCATATAGTAATTAATCCCCCATATAGTAATTCATCCCCCATATAGTAATTCATCCCCCATATAGTAATTCATCCCCCCTATAGTAATTCATCCCCCATATAGTAATTCATCCCCCATATAGTAGTAGTAAGTAGCAAGTAGTAAGCCAAGTCCCCCCTGTGTCAATTCACTTACCTTTGCTCCGCGCGTTCCTCTCGCCGTGTTCCCGCGCCGTTCCGGTCTTCAGGGCGGACTGTGAGAGGAGCCTAGCTCCTCTCACGTTCGTCACGCTGCCCCGCCTACACACATCCTGACAGCCAATCACTGGCTATCAGGATGTGAGTGGCAACGAGTCTGGCCAATCATTGCATTTGAGCGCGCTGCCCTGGCTGTTTTTTTTTGGATCAGCTGCAGAGTCCCTGCCGTCCGAGAGGAGGGAGGGGAGCGGGGCGCCCGGCACACAAGAGCCGCATTAAAGCGTGTAAAGAGCCGCATGTGGCTCGCGAGCCGCGGCTTGCCGACCACTGGTCTAGTATATTGTATCTACAGTTGTCCATGCTTCTCATATTTCTGGTTGTTGTGGACTATTTCACATCATGGTTCTTTTGTGTTATGTTATTAACCAAAGCCCAGTGTGGTGGCAGGTGATGAAAAAATATAAGACGTGATAGAAACGATTGTTTTTGAAGGTCACAGGCTGTAGCAGATTGGCGGCTGGTAGTCGGTGTTACACATGAATGAAAATGATGAAATATGAACAGAGCAGAGGCTATTTATTCTCCTAAACACACCAAAAGATAAAAGCATAGCAGATTTAAGATGACCTATCTATTGGTGATGCCACCGAGAGATTTAGTTAAATTGCTAATCCCATCGTCAAGATTTAGCCAATTGGTAATCCCACCATCAAGATTTAGCCAATTGGTAATCCCATCATCAAGATTTAGCCAATTGGTAATCCCACCATCAGGATTTAGCCAATTGGTAATCCTATCACCATGATTTAGCAAACTGGTAGTCCTACCCAGTGGTGTATTTAGGTTTCATGCTGCCCTAGGCAACACAAAAATCATCCCCCCACGGAGACAGCCTGACATTGACCAACAACACCCCAGCCCCCTACTTCCACCTGAAAGAGCCCCCCAACCCCTACGAGAGAGAAGTCACTCACCTTCACAGCTAAGGACATCCCCGGGAACAAGAGTCAGACTCTGCATACACCATCAAGCAGCCCGCAGCCTCTCTCAGATCCCCCCCTGGTCCCCATGCTGTGTGTCCCTTCCCCCATCCCTTCTTTCGGTGGGGGGGCAGCAATGCCCCCTGAAAAATGCCATTGCCCCCCGTGAAAGATGCTGCTTCCCCCCTGAAGAATGCCACCCTAGGCAAATGCCTTGTTTGCCTTGTGGTAAATACCCTTCTGGTCCCACCATCAAGATATAGCCAGCTGGTAAACTCACCATCAAGACTTAGTCAATTGATAATCCTACTGTCAAGATTTAGCCAACTGGTAATCTCACCATCAAGGTTTCCCCAATTGAAAATCCCACCGTCAAAATTTAGCCAATTGGTAATCCCATCATCAAGATTTAGCCAATTGGTAAACCCACCATCAAGATTTAGCCAATTGGTAATCCCACCATCAAGATTTAGCCAATTGGTAATCCCACCATCAAGATTTAGCTAATTGGTAATCCCACCATCAAGATTTAGCCCATTGGTAATCCCAACATCAAGATTTAGCTAATTGGTAATCCCACAAGCAAGATTTAGCCCATTGGTAATCCCAACATCAAGATTTAGCCAATTGGTAATCCCCCCATTAAGATTTAGCCAATTGGTAATCCCACCATTAAGATTTAGCCCATTGGTAATCCCACCATTAAGATTTAGCCCATTCGTAATCCCAACATCAAGATTTAGCCAATTGTAATCCCAACATCAAGATTTAGCCAATTGGTAATCCCAACATCAAGATTTAGCCAATTGGTAATCCCACCATCAAGATTTAGCCAATTGGTAATCCCACCATCAAGATTTAGCCAGTTGGAAATCCCACCATCAAGATTTAGCTAATTGGTAATCCCACCAGCAAGATTTAGCCCATTGGTAATCCTACCATCAAGATTTAGCCAATTGGTAATCCCACCATCAAGATTTAGCCCGTTGGTAATCCTACCATCAAGATTTAGCCCATTGGTAATCCTACCATCAAGATTTAGCCAATTGGTAATCCCACCATCAAGATTTAGCCAATTGGTAATCCCACCATCAAGATTTAGCCAATTGGTAATCCCACCATCAAGATTTAGCCCGTTGGTAATCCCACCATCAAGATTTAGCCAATTGGTAATGCCACCGTCACGATTTAGCCAACTGGTAATCCCACTATCAAGACAATGGTAATCCTACAGCCAAAATTTACAGGCTCTGCCTGGCTAAACCCATTCCCTAGCATTCAACTTCGAATGTGTCATATTTTAATAGTAACTGGCAGGGAAGTGTTATATAAACTAGTTCCCAAAAAAAGCATAAAGACAAGTCTTTATCTTACCGTAGCCAAGGCAGATTGCGAGCACCACGAACCTGAACATTGTGACTGCGACGTGTAGAATAACTCAATCATGCCTAACACTTTATATACACAAACTAGCTGAATTTATTTTGGCCACCTACCACGGGTACGATACTGGCAACCATAGGAACAGTGCAGATTTCTGGCCAGGATACAGGCTAGTGGTGATTATTCATTGCAAAGATAAGATTATAGAGCTAATAGGTTAAAGCAGATGCATGAATTCTGAGATATTCAAAAGGGCCAAGACCCCCATCGACATCTGAGTTACACCTGAACCAGAGGGCCTTATTTACACCAAGGGCATCTGCAGAGTTGGTGCTGGTGGTTAAAATTTGTTTTTATGGAGAGTCGTAACTTGAAGTTCCAACTAAAACTTTTTTTTTTAGTTTGTATGGAGTGAGGAAGGGAACGCGTGAATTTAAAATTGAAGCGCTACATCATAATATCCAAGTCCAAACATCTCCCTCTCATCCTGTCCCGCGGTTAGTTCTTACTCTGTAACCTATCAGCCGGCTCTGCAAAACTAAGTGATCCACATATTAGTGTTCATAGGATTTTTTTTTTATTGCTTTTCAAATCATATGTATATATATATATATATATATATATACATACATACATATACACAGTGGGGATCGAAAGTTTGGGCACCCCAGCTAAAAATTTGTATTAATGTGCATAAAGAAGCCAAGGAAAGATGGAAAAATCTCCAAAAGGCATCAAATTACAGATTAGACATTCTTATAATATGTCAACAAAAGTTAGATTTTATTTCCATCATTTACACTTTCAAAATAACAGAAAACAAAAAAATGGCGTCTGCAAAAGTTTGGGCCCCCTGCAGAGTTAATATCTTGTACTGCCCCCTTGGCAAGTATCACAGCTTGTAAACGCTTTTTGTAGCCAGCCAAGAGTCTTTCAATTCTTGTTTGAGGTATCTTTGCCCATTCTTCCTTACAAAAGTCTTCCAGTTCTTTGAGATTTCTGGGCTGTCTGTCACGCACTGCTCTTTTAAGGTCTATCCATAGATTTTCAATGATGTTGAGGTCAGGAGATTGTGAAGGCCATGGCAAAACCTTCAGTTTACGCCTCTTGATGTAATCCCCCGTGGATTTCGAGGTGTGTTTAGGATCATTATCCATTTGTAGAAGCCATCCTCTCTTTAACTTCAGCTTTTTCACAGATGGCATCAAGTTACCATCCAAAATTTGCTGAAATTTTATTGAATCCATTTTTCCTTCTACTCGTGAGATGTTCCCTGTGCCACTGGCTGCAACACAACCCCAAAGCATGATTGATCCAACCCCATGCTTAACAGTTGGACAGAGGTTCTTTTCATTCAATTCTGTGCCCCT